AAAAATAACTTCCAAGAAAATGTTTTCCGAATTTTTCAGCATTCGGTTCACGGAAATTAAACTGGTCAACGAAAAAAATAAAACAAAATAAATTATTAAAAGGAGTACAAGGAGAAAAATAAAATCAGATTTTCCATACCGAACGATGGAAAATATTTTCCAGTTCATTTTCAGGTTTCGGCCGAACACCGAAAAATATTATCATTTTCCTGGAAAATGGCTTTCTAGAAAATATTTTCCAGAAACGTCACATTTTCTGCGAAATGAAAGGTGCCTAAAAGGAAAAAATTTACATAGTTGCCAAACCTAACTCTCTCTTTGTTTGTGTAGAGAGAGATTTTCGTTTAAAAAATAAAACACCCTCTTAAAGAAAGTATGAAGATGGAGTCGACAAAAACTTCATTTGAAGAGAATCAATAAAAAATTTCGAGGTTTGGAAAAGAAAAGACGACTGGGAAGATGAGACGACTAGTAATCCAACTAAAAAGCTTACTTGTCGTGAGGCATCGACAAGCGCACTATAGGGATGATTGCCCTCTTTATATTGTTTGGATCACGTCTTAACATGTATAATACAAGAGTACTTGGGTTAATATTTCTCGAAGTTAAATTATATGTGGGAGTTAAGTGTCAAATAACTTTTCTAGGCTGTTAATTGCTCTTATATTTGACGGTAATTACCTGAGGCTTTCGCATGGGTATGGCTATGGGTTGTTAATTAGGCAGTCTTTCTTCATTAGTAGAACAACTCTGGTTAAATTCTATTTCCTTTTTGTGACTAATCAGACATTTTGCTCATCAATAATGGAGGCCATCCGAGTGCATCTATCTAGTAATGCCCTCTCCCATTTTCTAAAACCACTTTTACCCCCGTATTAGGACGTCGTACGATAGAACAAAGTGCGTTGGACAATATTTTTGCCATGTGAAAACAGACTTTTTGACTTGGAATATAAGAGCGTGGGTCATCAAGAGTCATTTCATGCTGGGAATGCGATGATGATCTGATTCTTGCTCTTCATATCCCACCAAGTCCAGCACAATTGAGTTCACAAGACAATCATTAATTAAAAAATAAATAAATTGAGATGCCAATTCAATTGCCATGTATCCTTCCAATTCTGCCAAAATCAGATGTTTTGGCTTGCATCCATTCTGCAGATAATCCAAACCTGCAATTCTTGCAAAATTTCCTTCAATTATGCCGATGCGAAGGCGCAAGAGTGGTAGTAGTGGATATCTCAGCTATATAACTCTGTGCAAAAAACTTCCTACTTCTCTCAACGCCCATATAATATTTGACAAGCACTTTATTAAACTTAAAGTTTGTTTATCACTTTATCTTAAATTCTACAATAATTATCTTTGAGAAATATTAATCTTAAGTACTCTTGTATTAGACATGTTTATATAAATTGTTTTTCGAGTGAAGTGTCAAATAACTTTTCGAGGCTTTTGTTTGCTCTTATACATGACGAAATTACTCGAGGCTTTCACATTGTTATGGGTTGTTAACTAGGCAACCTTTCTTCATAAGTAGAACAACTCATTTTAAATTCTATTTCCTTTTGTGGCTAATAAAACCTTGTAATTCTAGATTTGAAAATTAAAAAAAGAAAGGTCTGAAAGGTTGCGTAGTTGAACACCACATATTGATCTTGCATATTAAACGTTGATTTCAAATTAATCAGATACTTTATCATTGCTCCACGTGCAATGATCAGGAGCTGTAAAATTACATGAAATTACTCGCACTCCGACCAACCGAGCTTTTAGAATGGCTAACACATTTGAGAAGACTTGTGTCGATGACTTCACACTTGAGAAGGGCTACATAAGTGGAAGCACTCTCCACCACCGCTTGACTCACTCGCATGCTAAATTGCAAAATGGGTTCGCATCAAATCCTCGGCCTCCTCTGTTTTCTCTTTGTCTTACATTTCTCCCTTCCCTTTGTCTCGCCCCTTTGCCCTCCATACCAACGCGATGCCTTGCTCCATTTTAAGGATTCCTTTATGCTTGATACAATCGCCTCCTACTCTTACCCTTGTTATTTGGATAATTCTTCTTATCCAAAGACAAAGTCATGGAACAAGAGCGTGGACTGCTCCTCATGGGACGGTGTCACTTGCGGCGATGTCACCGGTAACGTCATCGGTCTCAATCTTGCTTGTAGTTGGCTTCGTGGCACTTTCCATTCCAATAGCTCCCTCTTTCTCCTTCGCCATATTCGAAACCTCAACCTTTTCAGTAATAACTTTACTGGCTCAAACATTTCGCCTAATCTGAGTGCATTTGCAAAAATAACTCATATAAATCTCTCTCGTTCAAACTTTTCGGGTACCGTTCCTAGTGAAATCTCTCACCTCTCCAATCTGGTGTCACTTGATCTCTCTTACCCGCTCTCTTCTCTCAAGTTGGAAGATCCAACCTTCACAATGCTTGCTAATAATTTAACGGTAGTGAGGAGGCTTGTTCTTGATAGTGTAAACACGTCCATGGTTTCACTAAAGTCCTTCGTGAACTTGTCTTCTTCTCTGACACATTTAAGCGTTAGAGGTTGTTCCTTAAAGGGGATATTCCCAGTTACTGTTTTTCAGTCCTCAAGCCTTACTACTCTCGATTTGAGTTCCAATGAAGACATGTCTGGGATTCTTCCCAAATCCGATTGTACCGGTCCTCTTGCATACTTGTTTCTCTTCCTTACAAGCTTTTCAGGAGAAATATCCGATTCAATTGGTAACATGAACAGTCTAACATATTTAGATCTTGGATGGTACAAATTCACAGGACACGTCCCCTCATCAATGGCTAATCTCAAACAACTCCAGCGCCTATTTCTTGACGGGAATAACTTTGGTGGGGCTGTAGAGTTTGAAATCTGTGACATTCCGAATTTCGACCCATTTTTGAGATTTATAGAACGTGTTTTTGGTCGATGCGCTTATAGTTAAATCTCACCCAGAACTGATCACTCTCGGGTTATTTTTAAATTAGAGATTTCACTAGAATCGCACTCGATCAAATTTGGCCGTTATTTAGAGCCTGAACTTTGGTGTCGAATTTCTCGTAATTTCGTGACAAATTTAATTAGATGGTGTCGATATTATTGTGGCCAGCGTCGATATTGCCCGAAATTGGTGAAAGTGAAATCTGGACCGGGTGTGGATTTTTGACTAGTAGACCTCCCTCGTAGTGTATTTTATTTAGTGTCTTTTGGCCTAATCCCAATTTATAATTAAGATTTTTCGTGGACTGTCGGATCAACTTCGAGTTTGAACGCGGGCCGTTGGATCGCACTCGATGGGTTGACTCTCTCTCTCCCTCTCCCCCCCCCCCCCCCCCCGCGATCGCGTCCCCTCCCCCTTGCCATGCAGACTAACCCCCTCTCTCTCTCTCTCTCTCTCTCTCTCTCTCTCTCTCTCTCTCTCTCTCTCTCTCTCTCTCTCTCTCTCTCTCTCTCTCTCTCCCTTTTCCTTCTTCTTCCTTCTTCTTCGTCCTCCTTCCCCTTCCCCGCCATTGCCCTGCTCCCCTTCTGCCCGCCGGCGTCTATCCCAGCCCCTGCTCGTCGGCCGTCCGCCTTGCGCCGCCGCACGCCCAGTCGCCAGGGCTGCCGTCCGTCTCGCCGTTCGCCCCTGGGCTCACTGCCCTTCTCTTTCCTTCCCATCCCCTCCGCGCGAGCAGCAGCAAGCTCGCCGCCGCAACCCTGCTCCGCCGAGCCGCCAGCCAGCCCGTCCGGCCTCACCCAGCCACCTGCGACACCGCCGTGCCACCCCCGACTACCACCGGCTCGCCACCACCACCCCAACTCCCCCTTTCGCCCATCGCCGCCCCGGCTGCCCGTTGCCGTCGTTGGCCGCTCTCCTGCTCGCCTGGCCGAGCCTGTCGCCGCCGCCGTCGCCGTCGTTGCCAGCTCGCCGTTGCCGTTCGACCTCTGCCCCAGCTCGCTGGCCGTGTCGCCTAGCCGCTGCCCAGGCCGTGGCCGAGTTCGCCGACTGCCTGCCCAGGCCATGGCCGAGCACGCTTGGCCGTCCCTGCCTTGGCTGGACTGTCCTGGTCGTGGCCGAGCCCTTCGCCCGTCCGCCGTCTCGGCCGTGGCCGAGCTCGCCTAGCTACTCGCTCGTCGTGCCCAGCCATCGCCCGTCCGCTTAGCCCGCTCGCCCAGCCGTGGCTGAGGGCTGTGCCGAGCCGTGGCTGGCCATCGTGCCCGTTACGCCCGTGCCGTGTCGAGCTGCCACTGTTCCACCGGGCCATTTTGGCCCCTTGCCGGTTTTCCTTGGGCCAAAACCTAGGTAAGTGACTCCCTAATCCCTACTTGGTACTTTGGATATTAGTAGACTTGTTTATGGGTGATTAGTGTTGGTTTAGTGACCAAGTTAGGTGTGGTTTAGTTAATTGAATATGATTGCTTTATGGATTAGTGTGATGGTGATTTTGTGGCTAAGTTAGTGTTCGATTGAGATGGATTCGATGACTGAGTTGTAGTGGCGTTTATGGGTGAAATTGGTGTTTGAATGTGACAGGCTGGAAGGTCGGGTTGGTGGGCTAATGTGATGAGCCTGATTTGAATTTGAATAATATGACGTGTTAGATTGGTATTGGCGAATTGTGTTGTGGCGTATGTGCATGAGGAATGTCCTGAGGCGTGGTTACGCGGGACTAAGCCCGGATTAATCGGAGGGCTGCCAACCTGAGGCGTGGTTACGTAGGTGTGGCTAGAAAGGTAAGAAATGACTTGAGGCGTGGTTATGCGGTTGAGAAAAATGTCCTGAGACTTGGTTACGCGAGATTAAGCCCGGATTGATCGAAGGGCTACCAACCTGAGGCGTGGTTATGCGGGTGCGGCTAGAAAGGCAAGAAATGACCTGAGACGTAGTTACGCGGGTCAAGAAAAATGTCATGAGGCGTGATTACGCGGGACTAAGCCCAGATTGATCGGAGAGTTGGACCTGAGGCGTATTGACGTGGGTCGTGGTTAGTGGGTTGGACATGCATGCGAAATGTGTTTGGTTGAATTGAGTGAATGTACGTGGTTATGGGACTCGAGTGTTTACGTTATGTTCTTGAGCCATTATTGCATTATTGTGATTTGACTAATGCGTAGGGTTGGCGTATGATTTGAGGCGAGGTAAGTGTGCATGAGAATTTTATGATGTCGATTGCTAGATTGCATGTTGGGACTCGTCTGGGTATGCATTGGCCTAGGTGGGGTTTAGGTTATCTGCTTATTGAGATTTATTCTCATTGCTGTAGTGCAAACCATTTCAAATCCCTAACCCCGACCTTGATCATGCCTCCACCTCGACGTTTTGGGGTCTCTATGCATACGGTGCATGAGGAAACCGAGTATCCAATAGGTCCAAATTAAACTTACATTAGGCACCTCACTACAGTCTGGGTAGATGACGGCTTAGAGGAATTGCAGCGTCACACATATTTGGCTTGGTTTTATCGGGACGGGTTGGAGTTAATCGGTCCAATCCGGGATTTTGAGGGTCAACAGCACGAGAATGAGGATGCCGTAGATTGGGAGCCCGGGGACGTGTATGCTCCCGATGGTGAGATTCTGGGCCTTGAGGATCCCCTGGGGAACCCTAGCCCCGAACCCGAGCCCATACCAGAACCTGTAGCGCTTGCAGATCTTGAGCTCGAAGATGAATTTGAGGAGTACAAACCTGAAGAAGAGCCCGAGCCCGTGCCAGAGCCCATGGAGCCTGAGCCCGAGGAAGAGCCGGGTAACGAGGAGGAGCTGATCGAGATCAACTCTGACTCGGAGTCCGAGTCTTCAGGGTCTGATTCAGATTGGGTGTCGTAGGAGCGCTCGAGTGCTGGGCTTAGAAGCTTTTTGATAGAGCCCTCTTTGTGCAGCTAACTAGCCTACCTTACCACCTGCCCCTTTTTGATGATTATGATGGATGTTAACCCTAAGAGCCTAATATCTGATTGCCTGAACGAATGTTGTAAGTAACTGGTTTCTATTGTTATGAAATTATTGTTTTGTGCTATTACTATCCCTTCGTCATTATTTATTATCTGGGTTGTTTTATTTCACTTCCGCTTGTGTATTGATGTGGGTATTTCGTTTGGGTCAGCAACGTGTCCTGAGACGTCGCATTTGATACGATCGTCGTAGGGGTGTCGCGAGCCCGTTAGGGTCCGGGGAGTGACATCCCCGTTGATTTGGTATCAGAGCAAGGTCAGCTCGATCCAAGTTGGTCGAAACCTGGAGTGATAAGGAGCGATGACTTTGGGGTAGCCAGTTAGGGAGACTCGTGTTTCATGCGTACCCCAGACTGTGTGATTGTGGTTGCTGAGTGAACTTATAGAATAATGTGTGAAGTGCAAGTGCATCAGGACTTGAGGTAAATGCACGAACTATGTTGGCTGCGATTGAGTGCTGCTTTTGATTGACTGCCTGTTTGGTGAATTGTTGTTGTGATTCACTACCTAGGGCTTTAGACTGGTATAGTTGGTCTAGGTCTCTAATTCCTGAGTGGAATTATAGTAGGTAGGCGAATGTGAGATCCTATGATAATGAGCAGTCGAGGTAGAGGTCGAGGTCGAGGTCGAGGTCATGTGGCCCCGCAAGCTAGAGTTGCAGAGGATCCCTGGGTAGATGGAATTATGAGGGCACTACAAGAAGTCAGGATTTAATGGGTAGACAGACTGAAGAATAAAACGCTACTGTCGCTGCTGCTGCTGAGGCCGCTGTAGCCGCCGCTAATGGGGCCAATGGAAACAATGTAAATAATGGGAACAACGGGAATGGTGGGCATCCCGCTCAGGGCCAAGTAAATGCAAATAGGCCGATGTCTAAGCTGGTTGAACAGTTCTTGAAACTGAAGCCTCCGAGGTTTGATGCTAGAGGTGATACTGAGGCTGCACCTCGATGGGTGGAAGAGCTAGAAAAAGCTTTCGAAGTGCTGGGATGCACTGAAGAGGAAAAAGTAACCCTAGCGGTATACCAGCTTCAGGAGAATGCAAGCGACTGGTGGAGAGCCACAAGAGGCCAAGTGTTCCCTGCTGGCACTGCTCCGACTTAGGCCATTTTTACTGAGACTTTTAATGGCAAGTATTTCTCGGAAAGTGCCCGAGAGCAGAAGTTGGCCGAATTCATGAGACTTCGCCAAGGTCAGATGTTGGTAGATCAATATGAGGCCGAGTTCGCAAGGCTGTCCAAGTTTGCCTCAAGAATGGTAGAGGACCCAGCGGACAAAGCCAGGAGGTTCCAAGATGGACTGATGCCAGACCTCTGCAGTCAGATAATCTCACTGAACTTGAGGGGCTATCATGAGATTTATGACCGGGTTCAGGCAATTGAGCGTGATTTGATGGATTGGGCTGCCGCCTCTGGATCACGGCAGGCCCCGACTTGGGACAACCGTCGTTTTGGAAAGAGACCTATAACGAGAAATAATCATTTTGTCCCTCTTGTTCAGAGAAATATCGGGAAGCCGAATCGCGTTTAGAAAGCCCCGTGTAGGTTATGTGGAGGGAGACATGGGAATGGACCTTACCCAAATAGGGGCGGAGTGTGTTTTAGATGTGGCGGAAGGGGCCATCAGATAAGGGACTGCCCCAATAACAGGCAGACTAGGTCGCCTGCACTACTGCCACTGCCGCCCCGGAATGGAAATCAGTTCGGAGCTGTCTAGCCGGCCAATCAAAATAGGCCGCCGGTCCAAGGACGAGTATATGCAATGGCGAGGAGGGAAGTTGAGGACGCGCCTAGCGTGGTCACAGGTACGGTCTCTCTCCGTGATCATGCTGCATATGCTTTATTTGATCTGAGGGCGTCACATTCATTTATATCTGAGCAGTTTGTTAAATTGTCTGGAATTGAGCTGAAATCGCTTGAAGTTATGCTGTGTGTGACTACTCCGTTGAATGATAAAGTGCTGATTACATTTGGATGCCCTGATTGTAAGATAATGATTGGTGATATAGAAGAAAGGATAGATTTGGCGGTTTTAGCTATGTATGACTTTGATCTGATTGTTAGTATGGACTGATTAGTTAAATAGAAAGCTGTAATGGACTGTAGTAACAGGGTTATCCAATTTAATCTAGTTGGACATCCTAGATTCGAGTTTGTGGGAAACCGAGGAGGAAACTCGATCCCTTGGATCTCGTCACTTGAGGTGACTAAGCTATTAGACGAAGGGTGCTAAGGATTTCAGGCGACTGTAGTTGATTCAACAGCTGAAGAGTCGAGGCTAGAAGACATAGCCGTGTTGCGCAATTTCCCCGATGTCTTTCCTCAGGAATTGCCAGAATTGCCACCTGATAAAGAAGTGGAGTTCGTGGTTGATTTGGCCCCAGGAACAGAACCGATCTCGAAAGCGCCCCATAGGATGTCGTTGTCAGAATTGAAGGAATTGAAAGTTCAGATGCAAGAGTTACTGGATAAGGACTTTATTCGCCCGAGTGCGTCTCCATGGGGAGCGTCAGTGTTATTCGTGAGAAAGAAGGATGGGTCCTTGAGGTTATGCATTGACTATAGACAGTTAAATCAAGTGACCATTAAGAATAAGAACCCTCTATCAAGGATAGATGACCTGTTTAATCAGTTGCAAAGAGCATCGATATTTTCTAAGATCGACTTGAGGACGGGTTACCACTAATTGAGGATTAAGAAAGAGGATATACCAAAAACGGCATTTAGGACGAGGTATGGGCACTATGAGTTTACAGTAATGCCGTTTGAATTGACTAATGCCCCTGCTGCCTTTATGGATTTAATGAGTAGGGTATTCAAAGAATTTCTGGATCAGTTTGTAATCGTGTTCATAGACGATATCTTGGTATACTCAAAGAGTTGAGCCGAGCATGAGTTACATTTGGAAAAAGGCTCTACGGACTTTAAGGAAACATGCACTTTACGCTAAGTTCAGTAAGTGTGAATTCTGGCTTCATCGAGTGGTGTTCTTAGGACATGTGGTATCCGGGGAAGGAATTGCAGTGGATCCGGCAAAGAATGAAGCCGTCACGAATTGGTCGAGATTGACAACAGTAACTGAGGTTCAGAGCTTCTTGGGTCTAGCAGGTTATTACAGACGCTTCGTAGAAAGGTTTTCGGCATTAGCGACACCATTGACGCGGTTACTAAAGAAGGAGACGAGGTTTGAATGGACAGATAAGTGTGAAAGGAGTTTCCAAGAGTTAAAGTAGAGATTGACGACCGCACCAGTGTTGACAATCCCGTCAGGTTCGGGAGGATATGAGATCTACATTAACGCGTCACTAAGGGGATTGGGATGCGTGCTAATGCAACACGGAAGAGTAGTAGCATACGCATCGCGACAATTGAGACCACATGAGCTAAATTATCCGACTCACCACTTAGAATTGGCCGCGATCATCTTCGCTCTTAAGATTTGAAGACGCTACTTGTGTGGAGAGAAATTTCAGATTTATACGGACCATCAAAGTTTAAGGTACTTGTTCTCCCAAAAGGAATTGAATATGCGACAGTTTCGTTGGATGGAACTCCTTAAAGACTATGACTGCGAGATTCTATATCATCCCGGAAAAGCTAATAAAGGAGCAGATGCACTGAGCTGGAAATCGTGCATCGCGCATATGATGGTCAAGGAATGGACTCTGTTGGAGGGAGTTCGGGATTCAGAGTTTAAGTTTGAAGTGAGTCATGTCTCAAGTCTACTTGCCGCATTGAGGATTGAACCGGAAATCTAGACTAAAATTAAGGCTTTAAAATCGACTGACCCGGAGATTCAAAAAATTCTGAAAATGGACATCACAAAAAGGAAATCGAACTTTCAGGTACTCGAGGATGGGATTCTGAAGTTCCACGGACGGTTGTGTGTGCCCGATGATGCAGAACTAAAGGAGGAGATTTTGTCAGAAGCTTACCGTAGCAATTACAGTATTCATCCAGGTAGTACTAAGATGTATCAGAACTTGTGACAGCATTATTGGTGGAACGACATGAAAGTGAATGTAGCCAAGCACGTGGCTAAGTGTTTAACATGCCAACAAGTAAAGGTGCAACATTGCAAACTGGGTGGAATGTTGCAGCCATTGGAAATCCCTGAGTAGAAGTGGGAACACATCACGATGGACTTTGTAATAGGATTACCAAGGAGTCAGAGGGGTCATGATTCCATTTGGGTGGTAGTCGATCAATTGACAAAGTCGGCATATTTTCTGCCGGTGCTAAAAAACTTCGCCTTGGAAAGGTATGCCGAGATATACGTGTGACAAATAGTCTATATTCACGGAGTGCCAGTGACAATTACTTCATACCGTGATCCTAAGTTAACTGCCGCTTTTTAGAAAAGTCTCAATACGGCATTAGGAACGAAGTTACAGTTTAGCACGGCCTATCATCCCCAAACGGATGGCCAGTTTGAAAGGACGATTCAGACTTTTGAAGATATGCTGCGAGCATGTGTGTTGCATTTTAAGGGTAGTTAGGAGGAACGGTTGCATCTGGTTGAGTTTGCCTACAACAATAGCTATCAACAGAGTATCAGAATGGCACCATTTGAAGCGTTGTATAGTAGAGCTTGCAGAACACTGGTTTGTTGGAATGAAAATGGTGAGAGGAGCATCACGGGTCCAAAATTAGTTCAGCAGTCAGTCAAAATAGTCAAGGTGATTCGGGACAGGCTTAAGACTGCTCAAAGCTGCCAAAAGAATTATGTAGTCCGGAGACGTAGGCATTTGGAATTTCAAGTAGGGGATCACGTTTTCCTCAAAGTATCACCAATGAGAGGATTGTCACGGTTTGGCAAGAAAGGGAAGTTGAGCTCGAGGTACATGGGTCCATTCGAGGTCTTAGAGAGAATTGGT